TTTCTCCTCTCCCCAGTGTATCTACTTTGTGTAGGTTACTACTGTGTGTCTAGAGGTTGTCTTCTCATATGATGTCTTGCAGGGGTTATCTGTATCTCTTTTCTTTGGATGGTCACATTTCTGTTGAGATAGGGAAAGTTTTCTTGTATAACCTCTTGAAATTCTGGCTTCAAAGTGTTCTCCGTTTCCATTTCTTTTTCTGGGATACCAACCAGGCATACGTTCAGCCTCTTGCTATAATCACACATCTCTTGGAGGCATTGTTATTTCTTTCTGAGTTTTATTTCTACATTTTTTACAGATCAGGTTAATTCCATGTCTTGGTCTTCAAGTTCTGAGATTATTTCTTCTGTTTGATTAATTCTGCTTTTCATGCTTGTCATCTTGTTATTTATTTCCTGGATGAAGTTTTCTTATGACCAAAATCTTTGTTACAAGTTCTTCCCAGGGGCCATCTCATCCTTCTCGAATTCCCAGGGGGCGCTACCGTCGCTCCGAAATCCGCCGCGGCCGTCGCTGCATGGCCCGGCGCGCCGGGCACCGACCCGCGGTGCGCCCGGGGCTCCTTGGACGCGCACGGGGCTCCGGCGTGCTCCTCGAGGCTGAGGACAGACAGACAAGCAGAAGACTGAGCGCCGGCCCCCAAACACCGCCAACCGGGGCGCTCTCTCCGCCTTCGCCTCACCCCCAGCCCGACCCCTGCCGGGAAACTGTAGATGGACGAGTGCCCGACTCCAGGCCCCGGAATCGACTTGCCCCGCCGTGGCACTGACGCCGCCGGAGCCACCGGTGCGCCCCCTCCCTCTCCAAGCCCAGGCCGGGGGAGGGGAGGTCGGAGCAGGGTCCCCGAGACTGGATCCCATGGTACAGGCCAGGCGCAGGACCCTTTCCGGGGGGACGCGGAGACTGCCGGCGGCTACGGCTCCGCGACGGGGCCCCCGAATGATGCTGCAGAATCCGCCACGGCCGCCGGGCGCCGGGGGCGCGGGCAGGTGGCGCGGCACGTCCCACCTGGGGAGCCGCCGGGGCCGCCCGGGGGGGGCTCGGTGAGGGCCGAGGCGACCGAGGGCACTGTCTGCGCTGCTCACCAGGGCTCCGGCGCCTCTCGCCCGCCGGCGGCGCCTGGATCCAGGCTCCTGCTGCCGCCGGGCACCGAGCGCGCAGAGCGCGGGCGAAGGAGCGAGCGAGGCTCCTGCTCCAACCCAATTCCGGGCGCCGCCGCCGCCGCCGCCGCCTCTGCTACTGCTGGCGAAGTGACGTGAGGGCTGACGCAGAGCAGGGGCAGAAACTCCAGAAAATTAGTCTGAAATCCAAAAACACACACGCTCGTCCACACACAAACCCATAACACCCTCCAGACAAAAGCAACGGGGAGGGGAGGGGAATCTGGGGGCGAGCAGGGAGGAGGGAGAGGCATCGGTGCCACCGGCCAGAAGCAGACAGCGGCAGCGTGTGGGGGTTCACACACGCGCGCACACACGCACACAGCCCGGCCGTGCAGACACGCGCGCGCGTGCGTGTGTGCCTTTAGATCCAGGTACCTCCGAGACCGGCCGTGCCACCGCTCGACGCCGCCCGGTCCCTCGTGCACGCCGCGGTCTCTTCTACCATCGCCGTCCAGGCTGGCTCCCTTTTGGAAATGGAAACCGGGCTCGGTTCAGCTCCGACAGAGGCGCTGATGCTTATTATAGGAATCCCCTCCCTTCTCCCTCCCCGCGTTCTCCCT